GAGTTTAAGCAGTATTTAAGAAAGAATTATGTATTCATTCTAGAAAAAAATGGCAATAAAAACCCTGGTGTGATATTAAATGTATTGTTGCAAAACATTCAATGAAAACCATTAAACATATTAAGTGCTTTGGCATTTTCCAATATTCCATTATAACTGCATTTACAAAGCAACACTTTTTAGCTTTAGCATGAGAAATAAAAATGTCTTTTTTTCGGTTTTAATATTTGTTTTGCTTTAAGAGTTTTGTCCATAATGAACCCCCCGATTTTAGGAATATTTATTGAAACTTTTCTCATTTGTACACAATTTGCTCATCATGATGGAACCAGTAGGAGTCCAGCAGTAGGTCACTGAGGCTGTGTGATTACATTTTCTATCTCCTCCCACGCTCATGGCATCTTCCCAGCGTTCCTCCTAGAAAGCCAGAATGACCAGGAACAAAAAGATGAAATACAAACAGAACAAAAGATCATTTTCTTCTTCTGATTCAATTTTCACTTTGACCTGGTGTCCTATTTCCCCCTGCTGGACCATGACAGGAAGTTTGACCTCTATGATGTCTTTAAATTTAGTCTTTATTCCAGTGTTTTGGGAGAGGAGATGGAAGACAGCATTCTGTAGTGTTGTAGGGATAATGTGGGGTCGTTGGAACAAGAGATAAGATGCGATTTTAAATGAAATGCTTTAATATCCCTGCTATTCACCTAGGCCAGTGGTTCTCAACCTTGGCTGCACATTAGAATCATCTGGGAATCTTTTTAAAATCCTGATTTCTGGGCCTCATCCTCCGGAAATTCTGTTTCTTTGTTATGGGGTGGGGCCACACAGGGTCAGCACCAACACTGGGGAAGCTGTGGGGCCAGGGAGACGTCCCAGCAGTGAGGACTGAGGGTGGGGGGTGGGGCCACAACATTAACAAAGAAACAGAATTTCTGGAGGATGAGGCCCAGAAATCAGGATTTTAAAAAGATTCCCAGGTGATTCTAATGTGCAGCCAAGGTTGAGAACCACTGCCCTAGGCAGTTGTGATTTCACAGTAGCTATAAATACTGTCCATGGTCCATGACCTCTAGCATTTGTTATTTATAAAGGTAGCTTCTGTTTATACTTATTTAACTAAAAAGGAAGAGTAATTTAGAAATATAAAAGTCAATGAAATGTACATCAACTCATGAATTAAAACATTGTGCATTTAGGTGCTTTGTTCCAATCCCAGGGTGTGTATTACATTTACATTGAATAAGGAAATTTTCAGCATTAAAAGGAGAGGGGAGAATTTGGCATTAAAGGTGCTGTGGACAAAACTTTTGTTTTTCCTTCCTTCACAGCACACTTTTGAATACTAGTCTTTAAAGCCATTTTTATTTCCAGTGTTCAGTTTTAATTAAAAACCACAGTCGCAATTCTATAGCCCTTCTGCACAACCAAAAGGGGAATTCATGCAAGAGAAAATTAACTTATTATTATTAAAAGCACACTGCCTTTCTAATAGACATAATAGAATAACAGTTTTCCTCAGGCTTGGTGGCAGCTTTTTATATAATAACTAAAATATTAGCACATTTAAATTGATTTTTTGTACCTGCAGGTGATAATTAAACTTATTTTTAAAGCACACTTAATTTGAATTAGATGATAGAGATATTTGTGCAGGAAAGAGACATTTTAAGCTTTTTATTTACTGGCAAGCATCAGAGTTGAAGTTGAGTTGTCTTGATTTTTAAAACATTATTGATTTTATAGAAAGAGGAAATGTTCTACTCATTTATGCATTTGTTGGTTGATTCCTGTATGTGCCCTGACCAGGGATTGAACCTTCAATTTTGGCATATTAGGACAATGCGCTGACCAACTGAGCTACTTGGCCAGGGTGTCTTGATTTTTAAAAATGAGAACTCAATTTATTTTTATTTTATTAACAGGGGAACATCTATCCCCAGGAGTCTGTTTTAGGCAAGTTTATGACACATGATTTTCTTCTTAGGTACAATTTTTTTCACTCATTTATTTTTATGCGAGTGTTTCAGAGGAAAGATAAACAATCCTTTGTTCCTTTCAAAAGGTACACAGTTCTTGATGTCCTGCTTGTCATTACTATTGTGCACAATAGCTGAGCCTATTCTTGGGGTTTCCCCAGGAAATCTCTCATAAAATATAAGCCTGTCTCCCACCGGCATCAGGGCGCAGTCGGGATAACCCCATAGTTTATTGCAGAAGGGTATATCCTTTCAAAGAGCTCTGTTCCAAAGTACTTATTTGTTTCACATGGGAAAACGATATGTATAGTTGACTATCTTTTCCTGAGTCTTATTTCCTAAGCTTTGCAGTGAGTGTGATCGGAAATATCATTGTGATAAATGAAGAAGCCATGCAGCAACCTAACTTGAAAATGAGCATTAAACTGGTCGAAGGGTTCAGATTCTCTTGTACTCACTGCTCCACACAGAGAGCAGTATTCTGGCTTATCTCAGTGATTAGTACAATTTTATTGAATTGTTTCCAGTGTGTTACCTGTTTGTACACCATGTCTTGCATTGTAGTATTTGTGGTTTAAATACATTTTATGTTATGTTATATTTGGACATGTTATAAGGTATGTATGATATACATTAACATACAAACACAAATATAAGTAAAATGCTATATAATAAATGCATTTTACGCTATACTCTGTCATAATTTCTATTTGCCTATCATTTCCATCTTGTTCTCTTACTTGTTGGTCCTATACTGCTTTTGTGTTTTTGTACATTTCCAATTCTTCACTTTTTTTCAATATTATCTGTCTCGGTCATTGTGAAATTAATTTGTTCCTATCTTTTGATCATTTGTACATTTGATGGACATTTCTGGATTCTCAGAATGCTTAGGTACCATGATAAAAACAACTTCTATGTGTTTAAGTAAATACATAATCAAAATGCATAACTTTTAGATCATGTAAATGTTCAGACATGCATAATATTTATACACATTCAATATGTAACTGATTTTTATGATACATGCATACAATTTTTAAATCTGTTACAAAGATTAAAAGAATAAGCTCTCTAGAAAACATTGATTTGATATATCACTGCCTGTCACTCATCTGTCTGAGTTCATATCGATCCATTTGCAAATTGTGTCTTGTGATCCCAGGAGGCTGACAAGCCTCATCGGCTGGGACAATTCCAAGAAAACCGCGACCCTTTGAAAGCTGACCCAATGTAAGCTTTGGGCCAACATATCCAATCTACGTAGACTGTGTCTCTTAGTTTTCTTTTCCTCTGTTTCTCCTCCTCTCCATTTTATGCCTCTCTTCTATACAGTACTTTAGTCTCATGGTGAAAATACATATGTGCACAGGTTTTGGAAAGATAAATGAGAGTTGAGACACCTTGGAGGACTGGAGGAGCTCATTCAGCAAGGCATCGGGGGTGAGGTACGATCCAGGCTAGGTGGTGTTTTTAGCCAGTGGATCAGTCACTGGCAGAGCTTGTTAACACAGGTCGCCAGGCCCACCCCCAGAGCTCCCAATTCTGCAGGACTGGATGGGGCCTGAGAAGGTGTATTTCTAACAAGCTCTCAGGTGAAACTGATGCTGCTAATGGGGGACTACATTTTGAGAACCACTGCTCCGGGGTCACCTTTTCATGTGCATAAGGTAAAGAAACGACCCAGAGAGGGAAAGGGTCTTGCCCCAAATCTCACAATTGTAGTGTGTTGCATTGCGGCTGGAGTTAGAACTCATTCTTCTGTCGCCAGCCCTGTCCTGCTTCCTGGGGGCTATTCTTCGATTGACTGACCAGAGATGGAGCAGCCCCTTTCTGACCATCTGCAGGGAGTGTGAGGAGCCAGATTGGCCCGCCCTCCCAGATTCCTGTCTGTAACAGCCGGTCTCTGGCTGGCCTATCTCTTTCCTTATATGCCCCTATGAAGAGAGAAGACTTTAGTGCTCTATACCAGAGCCCAAAGTTACCCAGTCATATTCAGACTCTTCATTTCTATGTCCAATTTAATAATCATGCATGGAACATTTGTCTGTGGATTTGTGATCATTTGGAGATTAATGTCATCATTTTTTTTTTTTAAAACATGGCCTTTTAAATTCAGGTCTCTATTATGTCAAGCGAAAGCAAGTTAAAGGTAGCATAGGCTGCAAGATTAACCAAGGGAAAAACAGGAATGGTTGCATTTTTATTTGGATCGAAAGATTTTTCTCTTAGTTCAATGAAATTTCAGTGAAATATTATTTAACTAAATGAATTTTCTGCAATATCTTCTCGTTTGCATTTTCATGGTGGGAAATAACTTACTGGCAAATTCAAATTAAAGTGAAATGATTTTGGTTGTTGAATAATTGTTAAATGGAATTTCATTAAGTTGTTTTCATAAGAATATGAAGTGGCTGAATTTAGTTGGCCAAGAAGAATAATTGTGTATTTAATTTCAGTGATTTTATTATTGGGATGAAGATTGTCAAAATGGCATTGATGTCCCATAAAATTCAAATAACTGTCACCTGATAATTACATACTGGAACTGGGTGCAGAAAAAATTGACCTTGAATGAGGCAGGCAATTAAAATCAGTAGTGTTTTCCAAAGCATTGGGGAAGTTAGTCCATTTAGAATTGAAGTCAATTCAGTTCAATAAATCTTGACTAAGGGCCTTCTCTGCCTAAGGAATGTACTTTCTAGGTAGGTCTTGGAGTCCATATCCAGCCTCAAGGGCCAGTGTCTTTTATACAAAAATGGATGTGGAACATGTGTGTCTTTATACACACATAACAATAAATATCTGTTGGAAGAATTATGGTTGAATAATGAAGGCAAAAGCTGGATTTTGACACTGATGTTACTATGTTCAGTGTCATGGGTGTAAAGGTACCAGTCACAATGAACATGATATACTCTGTCATTTGGGGGGCAACAGAGAAAACTAAGTCTTTTCACATTATAGGAATTTGGTCCAGGCCACACTTGTAACCCTTCCTGTCGCTTTCTGTCTTTTCAGCGCCTGGTGGAGGCTGCGGAAGAAGCGCACCTGAAACATGAATTCGATGCCGACTTGCAGGTACGTGATTATAGTTCGAATTAATTGTTTTCTGCCGAAGGAGAAGCACTCAGTGTACCAGGAATGCCAGGTTTCAGTGGCTGGGAAAGAAAGGCTTTGAGAGATGGCACTGAGTTGGAATAAATGTGCCTATTTTTTGATAAGGCAGGATAGGGAACCTCAACCATTGTCACCATGATAATTGCAGTGGGATGACACAAGCTCATGCATATAACCAGATTTTGATGGATTCCTCCCCAATTCCGGGGGAGTTAACCAGCCAACTGACAATAATCACCAGAGCTCTTAATGGTAAATTGATAAGATAGATAGCAGAATACAGACACTTCCTTGGCTTAAGTGATTGAAAGGAATGTTGTGATGGATCTAATGTTGAATTGATTTTAATTATATTTAAAAATTAAATCATTCACAGATGTGGGATTTGAACATCCACTTAATAAATTTCTTGTAGTAATCTCATATCTCATCATGGCATCCTGTGTCTGGTTGAGAAGGCTTTTGATGTTGTCTTGTAGAGAGAAAACATAGTAGAAGGGGCCAGTGAATTGAATAACACGTGGAGGTTCCTTTGCTTCTCTTCTGGAGTAAATTTTATCTGTATTGTTATTCCTGAGTTGTGTAGCCTCTCCTTACTTCTAGAAAAAACAGAGGGAGTAAACCTGAATCCTTAAGTCTGTGTTTTGATAGAACATAACTCTTTTAGTGGTCACAATTGGGAAATAGTGGTATATGAAAAAGATAAAGACAGAAGAAAGAAAAGATAGTGATCCCTAAGATAGGCTTTGGCTGTATCTCTGTCCCATGGGCCTACCTCTTGTCATCATTATTGTCTACATTGGTTTTCTTTTTGCCTTGTGGGTAAAAGCATGAACACTCAAATGTGGTAATTGAGGAAAGTTTAATAAGGGGAATATTTATAAATGTGTGGTAAATGAAACCAACAAGCTATAGTGTTGCACCCCAGGTCAAGCCACACTCCTGGCCTGAAGGAGCCAGGGGACAGAGAGGTTTCTAATAGCCAGAGAGTAGCTATATGGAAAGGGTACTTGATAGAGGGGTGCAGCCATGATGATCTGGCAGTTTTTGGGAAAGATACCCCAACAACAATTTCTAGCCTTCTGATCTCTTGCTGGTACCCACCATTGGCTGAATCCAACTGTCAGTATAGTTGACTTGATTCAGCCTCCTGAGGCATTGCACTGGGTGGAGAAGGGTGAAGAATAGATCTGGAGGGGAAGCAGAAAATGTCAAACCTACTATCTGGGGTTCATTTTTAGGCATAATCCCCAACATATAAAGCAAATAGAGCCTGGAATATAGCCAAGCACAAGAAGTTGCAGGGGGAGGTGGAGCTGTTCTAGTCACTGTTGGTAACATTGGAGAGGAGTGGAGAAGCCAGCCCCGGTTTCTGAGCAGAGCTGCAAGAGACAGAACAGAGAAATCAGCTGAATATAGCAAGAAGCATCGCGCTTCCTATAGCTACAACCATGTGGCGGCTCCAGGAAGATCCAGGGGCCATTTACTGGCCACGCTGACTTCAGTGTGCCTGCTCTTCAGAGGGTCTGGGCTTCCTAGAGTGGCCATGGGGGGTTTAATGGAAGCATCAGGAAGCGCCTTTGTAAGTGTGATGATTGTAAGGGTCTCTTGAATGTGTTGCCAAGGGAAATTGTCTTCCTCTTCTCAGGAGTTCCTGAGGCCTTTTCAGGAATATTCTGGTACTAAATGACAGAAGCTCATCTCAAATCAACTTAGATTATAACATTGAATAAATTAAGAAACCATGAGTCTACTCTGATAATAAACAAACAGGTAGATAAAAAGATAAATGCATAAATAAATGAGAAGGGAAGCTCTTACGATGGCATGGCAATTAATAACTATGGAAGAAATGATGGAGTTAGAAAATTATGGTATTGATTGATTGAGATAAGAATCTTCAATTGATACTAAAATTAGCAGGTAAAAGTTTGATGAAGAACAGGACATTGACAGTCTTAAAGCAACCACCCACAAATTACTCATTAATCACAAAGGAGAAAATATCAACTTTATTAGGGAAAAAGCTGGCAGACACTATCTTGAATACGTAACCAAAGTTAATGTCATCAGTGATGAGACCAAGTGACATCAGGAGCTTCCAGATATGATGACCAGGATGGATACAACAGCGCTTATGTAGGATTCTTTCACAGTGTGTCCCAAAGGTGTAGCCTTAACCTAATCATGACAAAATGTCAGAGAATCTGGACTAAGGCATATTTTACAAAGAAACTGGCTGGACAGTTCACAAAGTAACTGGTTGGACAGTTCAAAAAAGTCAAGGTCAGGAAAGACAAAGAAACATTGAGGACTTGTTCCTGAGTAAAGGACATCAAAGACACATGACAACTAAATGCAACATGAGATCCTAAGCTGGATTCTGATCCAGAAGCAAAGATGTGAATATTGACTATGCATTCGATAAATAATATTGCCTCAATGTGGACTTTCCTGATTTTGAGCCTTGTATTGTGTTTATGTAAGAGAATGTCCTTGTTCTTGGGTTTCTCTGGACTAAATATTTTGATCCATTGGTCCAATTGGAAGGAGTGAGTTTGCAGGAGGGCAAGAAAGGACTGTTTTGTAAAATCTGGTGTTTATGTCTCATAGTCAATTTTATGCCGAGACCAGTTGTCTAGTCAAGGCAGATGGGCAAGGAAAGGAATGCTTTAATTGACTTCAGGGGATTTTTATCCTTCAGCTGAGGAAACACGTTCTGTGGTTTAGCGCAACTAACCTTGAGCCGCTCTCTTTTGTCTGTCTGGAGCTGTTGTTATCTTCCCAGAGTGTTCTGACTTCCTTCCCATTATTGAAGCTTCACAATAAAACCCTGTTGTAGCACAAGCGGTTCCTTGTCAAATGCAGTGCTGTAAACACGAATGCAGCGTTGGGTCTCTCTGGAGAAAAAATAGAGGATGAGAAAGTGAGTCTCTGGAGTGTTACAGCTTTTGTTTTCTTGGGAAGCCCTGTCGTCTGTTTTGTGTGAGTACACAAGAACTATCAGAGGCTCAGTTGTGGTCTGAACACAAGAGTAGATGTTGAAATAACCAGTCAATATTGCAGAGTGTCATTCACTACCCAGACCTCAGACCTCCGTGAAATCTCTGGGTCAGAGTAAACCACGCGCTTTCGCGGAAGCCTGAAAAAGAGGGGCCTTCCAGAGAATGGATGTGCGCTGAAGAATGCCTGTCGGCTTCCATGAAGGTTTTGAAGCTGCAAAGCAGCGATGCTATTAAGCACAAGTCTGTTAACAGCTTGGGTGTCAGCCCCGTTGCTATTACTGGGGGTAGCCGGTCTGTGTACGGGCTCTGAGTTTATTGCTACGACGGTCCATTAGAGCTGATCAATTGTTAATCTGGGTTCTGCTGACCTCTTGGCAACCCCTGGCAGTGGATTGTGTATATCAAAAAAATTTCAGACTACCATCTGCTCACCGTGAAATAATGCTGAGAAGGTCCCTGCACTATTAGCTCAGTAAGAGCAAAGGGAGCTGGGAGGTTTTTGTGGAATTTCCTAAACTGTGTAACTTCATGTTATATAGTCTTAGCCCCTCTGCTCTCCCAAAACCAAAGGGGTGATACATCTGCCCGTTCTTTTACGTCAGCTTGGAGATTTTGTGCCACTGTACCTTCATGTATTTTAAAAGTGAAAATTTTGGGGTTTTTTGGTAGAATCTTTGAAAGTTATCTATCACTAGAAAGTTATGTTTCCTCTATTGCCAGCATTTTATTTTTCATTTGTCTCTCCAGAGGTTTAACACTTTCCCCAGGGGTTTATGACCTTGAAGTTGGCAGTCCCTTCTGTAAGGTCCCTAACTCTGGCATTAGATGGTTAGTGCCTAACAAAAGCTGTGTTGGGCAAAAGCAAAACGCAGCCTTTGACAGGTAGCGTGTGTGAGCAACCACAGTGCAGCATCCTCCGTAGGAAGCAGGGCTGCCCGGTTGTCACTGGCTGCAAAGCTTGTGTGGATGCTAGTGTCATCCCAGCCCCGGGGTGTCCCCCTTTAAGATGCCCTCCATGAGCCTCTGTGGGTTTTGTTATTTATTCCCTGATACCTCCATTGGGACAACTTTCAGTTATAACTGATGTCAACAGAGGCCTTGTTAAAGTGGCATCTTCCCTTTTTTAGTTTATGTTTTGAACATAGGTTTTTAATGTAAAGCACATGTGAGGTTAATGATGATTAAAAACAAAGCTTTAGAAACTGCCTTAATTATCACGCATGATTATTTTAGTGTTTCACCCTCATTATTTTGATGGCAAAATCTACCTTGGGCCTGGGGCAGTGTGGTGGGGGTGGATCCTCGCCCTGATTATCCTAGCAACTGATGGATTTCCAGAAAACTAGGTCTACACGTGCAGTATAACTCAGAGACTGTCTTCCCCCTCTTACTTTTCCTTTTTGGGTTTTTCCACCAGCGATGAAGAAGACAAAACTTTTTTTTTTTTGACAGTTTACTAAAAACTTGCTTATCTTTGAATGGCGAACATATTTACTTTGAAAACTGTCTCAGATAAGTGCCAATTGCACAGCGCTGGTGCACAGTGGGGAAAATTGTGGTTTTGAATTGTGTATCCTGCAGAAGCCTTTTCCATTACAGCATTTTCTATAGTATATTTTTCTTTGTTGTTTGTAAGTGACAGGAAAAAAAGCCTGGTGACAGTCCGAGGGGTAACGAAGTGTGAGTGGACACAAAAGGCTCTGGAATTAGAAATGGAGTTGTTGTTTTTTTTTTAAGTATTGTTATTATTTTTGCAGTTTACTTTCAATATTATTTTGTATTGGTTTCAGGTGAACAGCATAGTGGTTACACAATCATATACTTTACAAAGTGTTCCCCCTGATATTCCCAGTGCCCACCTGGCTCCCTATATAGTTATTGACTCTATTTCCTATGTGGTGACTGTAGGGAGACAGCTGATTGACTTGGTGCAGTAAAGAAGAAAGATGGGGGCCG